CGATATTCTATTGTATTTTCTCAATCTTATCGTCCATTTTTAAAATATTATCTTTTATTTCTCCCACATCTGTTTTCAATTCTTCGTGATTTCTTCTGGTTTCTTCATGATTATTTGCTATGGACTCTTGTGTTTTATTCATTCCTTCTTGTATTATGGCTAGGACTGATTGAATATTTTGAATGTTGAATGTTGAGGGAGCCTTTTCTTTCTCTGTAGTTAGCATTGTATCAATTGTTTTTTATTGCATAGGTGAGGCTGTAAGTGTTGTCTGGTTTGAGATTAATTTTTTGCTTGTCTTAATTGTCAATATTGGGCCTGTTGTTGTCATCTTTATTTTCTGTTTTACACTTTCCCAAATTCTCATACACTTATCTGACTTAAGAGATCTTTATATTTCTACTTCTATATTGTTATTTGACTTGTTTAGTATGTATAGGTTAGGATAAAAGTCAGTATGTGAGGAGTCCTGGTTGATCTATATTTAAATTGGTCTATAATTTACTTTTCTGTCACAGTCACTGTTCCCGAATAGTTTCCAATATGATTGTTCAAAGTTCTGTACAATTCTTTTTAAATTTCTACTTTTCAATATCCTTATATGAGGGGTGGAAAAATCAGTTAGGGAGATGAGGGAAAAATCTAGTGTTTCAGCCATTCATTGGTTTGTTCTTACTGTTGTTATCTATATTGCTAAATTAATACTTAATATATAGAGTGCTAAAACAGATGAATATAAATAGTTGATCTAAATAATAAAATATATATAATCACTCTAAACACACTAGGATATTAGATATAATTAATCTAAAATTCTGACTTCTAAACCATATCAATATATGGGGTCAATAACTAAATATACAAATAGATATGTTAAATATAATCAATACTATATCAATGTGTCAATATATAAATATATGAATCTATATAGTCACTCTAAGAAAGCTAAGCTAATAGGTGTAGTTAATATAAATTCCCAACTTTTAAATGATGTCCATATTTGAAATCTATAATTAAATATATAAGAAAATATGGTAAATATAATCAATAATATATCAGTCTCTCAGTTTCTAAGTATCTAAGTAAATAAGTATAATACTCAATTAATTATTTATATTTGCCACAGTAAAAAGTTATATCGCAAAGTTATATCTCAGATTTTAAATAGAGAATAACAATCCAAACTTTCTCACTTGGTAATTTTTGGTAATCAATAAATGTCTCTGTTTAAATTAAACAGTTATATTTTATACTGCGTTGGTTGGTATTCGTTCTCTTTCCGCTTTGCAGTCTTTCTTCACTCTTGCATCATCTACCTTCCTATATCCGACAGTTTATTTTCAAAGTCTCTGTTCTTAATTATTTTAGTTGTCCCAATATCCAAAAGTCAAAGTATCCACAAATTTGTAATCTACTCCAATTCGTTAGTTTACAAAGCTGTTATCTGTGGGTCTCTGTGTATTAACACCTGCTCTTCAGTCTCTGTTACAAATTAGTCCTCTGTTTCCTCTCTCCGATTTTTTTCTTTCTCAATCAATTAGAATTTGTTTGAGATTTTGGAATTTAGATCCCTCTCAAGTCCAGCTTCTGGCTATAAGTACCAAATATTGTTACAATAATTGCAATAGTCCAGACTTCTGGTCTGGTGCCATGGCGCTATAGTCGGGGATATGGCGGGCTCTAACGAGCCCGTGAAAACCCCCACTGACAAACCACTGATCGATTGGTCTTCGGACCGACCCCGTCTTGTAGGGATGGGAGGAGAAGAGGAGCATCTCGGAAGGCCAAGAGGAACAGGCAAGTTCCTCGGAGGCCAGAGGGAATCCTTGAAGTCGGCGGTGGGGCTAGGCAGTCATGGCGGCTGTCGCAAAGCCGTGGCGGACCATGAAAAGATCGTGCAGGAGAGAAGAGGAAAGGATAAGGTTTTTCGAAGCTGGGTGAGTGACACCAACCCAGGCAAGAAACAACATAACTGCATGGATTATTACAAATAAGACCCCAAATTTTAAACAGTGGCTACAGAGCATTGGGGCTTGAAGATTTGACAAGGAAAAAAAATTGAAAATAAAGACCCATGATAGAATTTGTTTAAGTACATTGATCTACATTACTACATTACATTAAGTAATTGATCTGGAATAATTGGTTTTTTATGAACCAGAAAATTGGGTTTCTCTTTTAATTGGAATAGATTGGAGAAACATTTTTTTCCCCCCTTGGGAGTTAACAACTGTGAAAAGTTAGTGAAGAAAGACAGGCAGATGGTTATATAATAGCTATGGAGTCTGCAGTGACTAAGCGGAATGTGGAGTGAAGAGATTTCCCTTCCATTTGGAAAAGAAACATTTTGAATGGTGTTTCACTTTGGATTACTTTGAAATTAACTTTAGATTTATGGACTCTGGAGATTCCTATTCTGTCGCTGGGTGATTTTATGAAGAAGAAAGAAGAAATACTCTGGATTTACTAGAATTGAAATTAACTGGCTTAGCAAGAAAAAGGACGGGCGCAGGAACAAAAGAGAAGGAAGTTGATGTATTATATATGGAACAGATGTTACAAAGCATTAAAGTGACACACAGAGTTTTCAACTTGGATGTATGGATTTTTAAGTGGAACACTTATGGACAGATAGGGAAAGGAAGAAATAAATAGATAAAATTGAAATGTAATGTTTTAAAGCTTAAATATATAAATGATTTTTGGATAAAACATGAGGGCTTTTGGAGTAATAAGGATGAAAAATAAGAGATGGTAACTAAAATAGAGGATTGATGTTTAGGTGGTTAAAGATAATAAATAAGAGTATATACTAATATGAGATAACTCCAAAAAAATTTACTGTTAGATGTAATATGTTTTAACTTTAATTTGTAAACAAACTTCAGATTGGTGAATATGATTGATTAATGTTTTAACTGGATGTAACTACAAGATACACAGACTTCAGTTATAAATTGTGATTACTGAGAATTAATTTGGAAAAACATGCTGCAAGATACATAGACTTCAGTTATAAATTGTGATTTAATTCAATGTAACCTGGAAATGATTAATATTATGAAACATACCAAGAATTAATTTGGGAAAATATGCCGGGAAACTGACATATAATAGATAAATATATTAAAATAAGAGATGATGGGCACCAACTAAATAAAAGTTTGAGACTTTGAGGAGAATATGATAGAAACCAGTAAAAATGGAAAATGCTGGAAATTAGCCAAATAATAATGGGAGAGTTGGAGGAGACTATGCTGGAAATCAGTCAAATAATAGCAGGAGTTTTGGAGGAGACTATGATGGAAATCAGCCAAATATAATATGCTGGAAATCAGCCAAAAATAGGGGGTGCTCAGGAGGAGACTATGCTGGAAATCAGCCAAACATAATATGCTGGAAATCAGCCAAAGAGTAGTTGGAGGTTTGGAGGAGACTATGCTATAAATCAGCCAAAATAAAAGACGCTGGAAATCAGCCAAACAATAGTAGGAGTTAGGTGTAATAGATGATAAGCGGGGGGAAATTAAAGATAAATTGATAAAGTTTAAGATTTTAATATTTGATGAAATGGGTCAAGAGACCAAGAAAAATGGATAGAACTTTGTTTTATAAACTGGAATAAAAATAGAGTTGTATTGAATTTGAAATTAAGATTATGGTGATAAAAATGTAAGGTAAATAATTAAACTATGAGGTTAGAAGATTGTTAAAATTTATACTTTGATATTGATGTTAAAAGATGTAAGGAAGAAAAATTGGAGAAGAACCAGATATAAGATGGACATGGATATAAAGATGAATTGTTTATTTGGAAATTAAATTTGTGGTGACATAATAGATTTGTTTAGATTAAGATGCTAGAATTCATGTTAAAACTCTTTTTTTTCTTTTCTTCATGTTTTGATTTTTATGTTTAAAAGATGTAATGGAAAATGGGAAAGGAGCTTGTTAAAGGAATGTAAGCATTGTACCTATCTATGACCGGATCGAGACTTTGTTCTTGAAAGTTATATTTTATGTTTATGTTTGAGAAAATAAAATTAAAAAAATCTAAAAAAATAATATTAATTGCAATAGTCCTAAGTGCTGTAATTTCCGTTGCCGCTTACTTTTGTCGTCATCGCCCCTTCTCGGCATTCCGCGATTTCTCTCCTATCTTTCCAGTTTCTCTCTCACTGCTCACCACTCTGGACTCAGTTGCTTCTTCTACGCAATTCGTGTATTTTATATTTCTCGGCTCTTTTACTAGTACACCTTCTGAAGCCTCTCTGTTTCCACTGTTCTCCTGTTTCTGCGCTGTCACTCTCGCTGTTTCTTCGCCACCTGCCTGGCTGTCGTTTCGCCGCTAGTTTGGAGTCTCACTTTCTCCGCTCACGTTTCACTTTCCCACACTATAGCTGTACCTTTTCAAATCTTTTGTTCTCTCATTCAATCCTTTACCAATGTGTTCTCTTACTTCAATTTTCTCTTCCCACTCTTTGGTTTATCAGTGTTTTAGGCCAGCCAAAATGGCTGGTTTTTTCCTGATTGGAATTAAGAGGTTCTCCTGAACCTTCGAAGAGATTACTTTGCTCCCCGAGGTCCTTGAAGATTCCTCTTTTTTCTATTGATCTCTTCAAGATCAATAGCGCCTAAATCGGCTTCCTAATCAAGAATATTGGAACTTCAAGAACGGATCCCCGTTTTCTTCGTTCCAGACACATTGACGTCACTGCCGAAGTCCTACAAAAATATACTTTAATAGAATACAATAAAACCTTTTTTTTTTCCAAAAGAGAAGTATAAGAAATGAAGAGGAATGTCAGACTAACCCCTCAGAACAATAAAGCATCATCTTTATTCATATAGAGTGGTAGCCTATTTGTTCTAATAATTGTGTGCGAGGGAGTATAGAGTTCTATAGAAAGAAAAACAATAAAACCTAATTTATAAAGAAACAGACTAGTTATGTGCTTGCTTGTGGTGAAATAAATTTGAACACAGCATTGTCTCCTCACCAAATGTCTGATTTCGTGTCATAACCCTGGTGTTGTAATGCCTCTGGGCTCATGTAGAAAGGTGTCCCAATAAAAGTAGTTGCTAAATCGCACGATCCCATCAAGAGTCGAGAAACTCCAAAGTCCCCTTAAAAGGAAGAGTTAATATGTAGTAATCTGTTAGAAAAACAACCAATGAAGTAAAAAAAACCTAAAACTAAGCAAAAGCTAGCTAACTATTTAAATTCAAATACATAGTTGTAAAAAATTCTCAGAGGCTTCTAATAACACCCTTATAAACTGAGAACACATAGTGGCTAATATCATGAATAAAGCAGTTGACTATATTTGCCTTCCATTTACAGAATAAGCTTTTATCCCCAACAAACTATTTTTTTAAAAAACAGACTACCAGCCTAGTTTTAAAATGTGTTATGCTATTGTGTATATAGATAGTCCTTGATTTACAACCATAATTGGGACCACAATTTCTGTTGCTAAGCAAGTTGATTGTTCAGCAAGTCATAACCAATTTTGCAACATTTTTGTTATGGTTGTTAAGTGAATCACTGCAGTTGTTAAGTGAATCATATGGTTATTAAATGAATCTGATTCCCCCCATTGACAGTAATGAGGATTGGTTGTAAGTCACTTATTAAGTGCTGTTGTAACTTTGAACCATCACTAAATGAATGGTTGTAAGTTACCTGTAGTCAAATGCACATTTGTGCACATTCAGAACTTAATCATGCTTTTTTTAAAAAAAGCAGAGAAATATATAAATAGAATATAATTATTTTAAATTATTTTAAAATCATAGCACAATTATAAAATAAGGATTTACTGCAGCAGAAGTGGCTATAGTATGGTAGCTTATAAATTATTTTGTAGTGATAAATAACAATAAAAGTATTAATGGAATTGTTGAAAAAATATAATGGAATAACTTTTTTTTTTTCATTTAACATATCTGTAGAGATTCTCAATCATCCAGGTCATAGTTGTCCCAAAGGTGTTTTTTCAGGAGGCAACTGGACTTTCTTGTTATTTTTCTTTGAAGACATTTCGTTTCTCATCCAAGAAGCTTCTTCAGGATAGTGGGGAATGGAAGGATTTATATTCCTTGCAGATAACTGGTCATTTGCATCCTTTTAGAGGGTCGTTGAAGCACTTGGAGGTTTATCTGTGGTTTTACCAGCTTTCTGCAAGGAATATAAATTCTTCCATTCCCCACTATCCTGTAAGAGTTGAAGAAGCTTCTTGGATGAGAAATGAATCATCTTCAAAGAAAAAACAAGAAAGTCCAGTTGCCTTCTTAAAAATTCATTTAACATGCTCTTATATACTCTCAGGTCTTTAACATAAGGAGAACAAAAACCACAGTAAGTTTTATATAATATGTAAAAAAAAGAAACACATATTCTATAATACTATGGTATCCTTGAAAAATAACTGCAATGATTTTTTGATAAAAGTAAGTATATGCTGGATTTCATGAAAAGCTTCCTTTCCATGTGCTTTAATCACTGAAGGATGTCATCATGAATTAGCTAACTAAGGACCTTAATATTTTATTGTGCCACATGTACATGGCTTTGTGCAAACTAGCCATTACAATGGCAGTCTGGGAGAGAATAGATAAATAAATTTTTTCCAAAACACAGAACAGGCATGATGCAATGTTTTGTTTTGCATTATATTTTGAGATAGTCTTTAAAAAACACACATATTACAAAATATAATTATATGTTGGTAAGGTTCAATTTTAAAACAAAAAGAGGCAATTTCACTCTTCTGAATATTTCAAAACTAATATCTGACCCTAATCTAATGTTTCATTAAAAGGAAAATACTTGGGAATCTGTGAGGAAATAAACCTGGGCAGGAAGTGGTAAGTATTTCTATCTCTTGGTCTAAGCATGGAATTAGCATTCAAACATTTGTTGGGATCTGTAACTAAAGCGTCTTTCAATTTCATCTATCTTGCCATCTCGGCCTCTCTGCACGCTCCTGGAACAATAAATAGCAACTTTTTTTAATATCTTACCAATTTTAACCAGATTATTTTTCAAAAAAATATTCTTAGCTTTCAAATCTCGATGAAGTATTCGCCTGAAAATAAAAAAGAAAACATTGTTCCAGTGATAAGAAGAAAAAAAAATGTTATTGCAACAAATGTATCTTGTTATGTTATAAAACTTAAAAATGTAAAATTAACTGCATTAATATCATTGCTTTTGGACTGCAATCCTAAACACATTAATTAGCAGCTAAATTGATTTTTTGATTTTGAATAATAATATCAATCGATAATAATCGATTTACTGAATCATGAAGGAGAACTTACTCCAAGACATCAACTCCAAAATGGCAATATAAATATTGATTGGTGGCACTATACTCAAATATATTCAAGATACAATGCGGATAAAATCAAGTATGGAATTGCAAAAGATCTGAACGAACTGGACAGAATTTTATTAGGAGCAGACCAGAAAATGATTACTAAAACATATAACTACCTTTTGAGAGACAAATTAATAGAAGAAACAGTTAAACATAACATGACAGTGTGGGCCAGGGACATAGGACATAATATTCAATTGGCAGATTGGGAGAAATTATGGAAGCAGAACATTAAAATGACAAGAGCCACATCTTACAAGGAGAACCTCATTAAAATGTTTTATAGATGGCACCTACCACCAGCCCGACTTGCCAAAATACACCCAAACACTCCGGCATTGTGTTGGAAATGTAAAACAAAAAAGGAGACATATTACCACACTTGGTGAAAATGTAGGAAAGCCCAACACTATTGGCAAGATATAAAAAATATTATTGAGGAAATAACGAATATTCAAATAGAAAATAGTCCAGAATTCTTTTTATTTGGCATGATAACGGCACAATATCTTAAGGAAACGAAATATCTTATCATACATATCTTGACAGCAGCAAGACTACTGTTCGCTCAAAACTGGAAATTAGACCAACTCCCATCCAAAGACAAAATTATCGCAAAGATAACAGAGTGTGCTGAAATGGACAGATTGACGCTGGAACTCCAGGAAAAGGAAGAAAGCGAATACTATCTTGTATGGCACCAATGGTATCAATGGCTGGAAAGGAAAATCAGCAAAAATGTAGAGGACAGAAATTAGGGTAAAGACTTACATAAGAAGATGAACTCATAAGAAATGTAAATTTGTAGTGTAAAGTTATAACATTGGAATTAGACATTTAATAATTACTCTTTATTAAAATATATAAGCTCAACGACATATATTCTGTTGATGACAAAAACATATATGTAGAATGTTAGGTGGGTTTGTAGGTGGTGGGTTTTTGTTTGTCTTTGTATTGTATTGTATTGTCTTTATATCTGTGTTTATATTTTAATAATAAATTTTTTTTTTTTAAAAATTAACAGCTAAATCGATTTTTTGATTTTGAATAATAATATCAAATTTTTTGCCAAATAAATGGAGAAAGGACAGGCAAAAACTAAATATATGAAGGGCTGCAGGTCAAACTTTCTTTTTGATAACATCCAGAAGGAAAATAATAAAGATTTTAAAAAGTATTTTAGCCATTCTGATTGAAAATGAATCAAAAAGTGCCTTATAAATATAGTTTGTCTTTTGGACAAGGAAAGCTGGTTTGGGGAAAATTAGTGTATGAATAAAAATATCTTACAAAAAGAAGGAGTCCTTGGTTAATGATGAACCAGAAATTTCATTGCTAAGTAATATTATTGTAAAGCATGACATTACACATTACATCGCTTAGCAATATCAATCCCAGCACATTCCGTTGCTATTGTTAAGTAAGATTCATGGATTCTTAAGCAAGTCCCAAATGGTTGCAAACAGGCGAACAGGCAGGTAAAGGATAGTGCATGGCACAAGCACAACATGACTGGTTGTTTCTGGGTGGTGAAGAATTTGTAAATGTACTATGAGTCACGGCATGAGTATGGCAGGGGTAGCTGCTAATAGGTGGGGGAGGATGCATCAGTGGCCCACGAGGAACAGCATGAACATGGCAGAGCAAGGGATGGCTCACTATCCCTCACTAGAAGTTTTAAATAATCCTCTCTCTGACATGGTTTTTTTTTTCTGTGTTACTGTTTTTATACATACTAACTGTAGATATGTTGATGACCTGGACTGATAGCTCTATTCAAGAAAGCCTTTTTCTAGTTTGTTAAAAATTATTTTTCTTTTTATTGGTGAGTTCAGTCCGTTTATGTTAATTGATAGTAATTTTATTTCTTCTTCCATTGTTTACTTATAGATAGGTTTTATTGCTCTAGTTGATCTTATTTCTCTCTGTTCTTTCTGTCTTCAAAAAGACCATATTAAAAAGCAATACAGTAAACTATTAGAGTACCCCAAAATTGGGAAACTATATTTTTCATTAGCACAGCAAAAAAAAGGGGGGGTGGCTCTATATATTAAAGAAACAATAAAGACTAACCAACTTTTTGCAGATGAAGAGGGGAGAATATTGATGGTTGAGGTAACAATGAATCAAAAACAGATATTGTTGATAGTAATATATGCACTTAATAATAAACAAGATGAGTTTTATAGAAAACTCCATAAGAAAATCAGAGAATTGGAATATGAAAATATTTCTGTGGCAGTAGACTTTAATGCAAATGTAGACACAGAACTTGACTATAAGAGCAGTAAAATAGGCAAAAAAGCCAGAAAAACACTCCCAAAAAACTTCTTTAAAATGATGGAAGAAATACAGTAGGAACTCAAGATGTATGAACCTATTAGAACCTATTGGAAAAAGAAGAATTGGCACAAAAAATTAAAAGTGCAAAACAAAATTACTTTGAAAATGCGAATAAACCTGGAAGATGGTCAACATACAAACTGAAAAAAGAGAGGGGGGAAATTGATACATAGACTAACTAGCTGAATACCCATGCTCCGCTACGAAACTATGTGATCAGGCTTGATAAATTGACACTTAGAGTTTGAAAAGTAATGAGTAATTATGATCGGCCCCTTCTCTCCCTCAGGATCCTCTCCTCTCCCCTTCTCTCTTTCAGGCTTGCACCATAGATCCTCTCCTCTCCCCTGCCCTCCCTCAGGATGGCCTCATAGATCTTCTCCTCTCCCCTTCTCTCCCTCAGGCTTGCACCATAGATCCTCTCCTCTCCCCTTCTCTCCCTCAGGCTGGCCCCATAGATCCTCTCCTCTCCCCTTCTCTCCCTCAGGCTTGGCCCATAGATCCTCTCTTCTCCCCTTCTCCCTCAGGCTTGCTCCACAGAAACATCTTCTATCTATTCCCTTCTCTCCCTCTGGCTTTCTAGCCCCTCTTCTCCATGAGGCTTGCCCCACAGAAGCCTGTCCTACGCTATCCCTTTCTCTCCAGAGTTATTTTCATGTTGGAACGGGGAGTAGAAAGTTTAACTAATTAGCACCAGAGTGTGTTATAATGGGGGCGACGAGGCGCTCCCATGTGACACCTCTCCTGCGTGAGCTGCACTGGCTCCCGGTGGTCTTCCGGGTGCGCTTCAAGGTGTTGGTGACCACCTTTAAAGCGCTTCATGGCTTAGGGCCGGGGTACTTACGAGACCGCCTTCTGCCACCAATAGCCTCCCACCGGCCAGTACGCTTGCACAGAGTGGGCCTCCTCAGGGTGCCGTCCGCCAGACAATGTCGGCTGACGACCCCCAGGGGAAGAGCCTTCTCTGTGACAGCGCCCACCCTCTGGAACAACCTTCCCCCCTGTTACGTACAATAACAGACCTCCGGATTTTTCGTCAGGCCCTGAAAACCTATTTATTTCAACTAGCTGGGCTGGCTTGAGTTTAATTTTAAATTGATTTTAAATTGGGTTGTTTTAATTTACGGCCAGAATATTTAATTATTTTAATATTGTTTTTAAATTTTGTATGCTCTGTTTTTACTTTGGCTGTGCACCGCCCTGAGTCCTTTTTGGAAAAGGGCGGTATAGAAATTTAATAAATAAATAAATAAATAAATAAATAATAAATAAATAAATAATAATAATATAGGAAATATTAATGCTCTGATGGTCATTTCAAAAAATCCTTTCTTAGTGAGCACCTAGAAGTCAAGAGGAACATACGTGGCAAATTTCAAGTTTGTAGGCTTTATGGTTCTGGAGATTTTGTGATTAGTGCATGAGTGGTTTTCACTTTTATATACATAGATTGATGAGAAAGGGACTTTTCACTATCAGAATGAGGAGAAAAATACTATTATAAAAGAGTACTATGAGAAATTGTATGATAAGGAAGAAATTCTGGAAAATAAAATACAACAATATTTGGAACAATCTGAACTCCCTAAGGTACCTGATAGTTAAAGATATGCTGAATGAGTGGATAACCATGATGGAATTGACAGAAGTGATCAAGAGACAAAAAAATAATAAAACACCAGGGCCCGATGGGCTACCAGCAGAATTTTACAAACAACTAGAAGATGTATTAAGCCCAGTGATGTTGGAAGTTTATAATGAAGTACCACTAGAAGCAAAAATACCAAATTCATGGACGGAAGCAAATATTATTCTTATACCGAAAGATGATTCAGATTTAACACAGATAAAGAACTACAGGCCAATATCTTTACGGAATGCAGACTATAAAATATATGCTTCGATAATAGCAGATTTAAAAAATACTTGATCGAATTTATACATCTAGATCAGAACGGATTTCTGCAAAGTGACAGATTAAAAACAATATGAGAATGATTCTAAATACATTGGAGTATTATGAAATACACCCTGGGAAAAAAATGGGCTTGATGTTTTTAGATGCACAGAAAGCATTTGATAATGTTAATTGGCAATTCTTGTTATAACAACTAAAATATATGGACTTTGGGGAGAGATTTATTAATATGATTAAAGCAATATACTGTAAACAATCAGTCAAGGTAATAGTAAATGGAGCCATGACAGAGAACTTTGATATCAAGAAAGGCACTAGACAGGGATGTCCACTGTCCCCGCTGCTATTTATATTGACTTTGGAAGTGTTAACCAGGAACATTCAGCAAGATGAAGAAATAAAAGGAATGGAAATAAAAAACAGAGAAATACAAGCTACAGGC